TTCACCAGGGCAAAGAGCCCTGTGACTCCAGAAAACCAATTCCACTTAAATACAGATCCATCCAATGGGTGGATCTCCAAAACTTCCCTTACTCTTTTCATGGTCAACATACACTGACTCTTAAATACAGGATGTCCTGGTGTTATATGAAGTCTGTCTATGTGTGAGTTTTAGAAAGGGAAACAATATTCATTCTTCGCTTGTGGGCCTTCATTGTCTGGGGTAGCTGACTATTGATCTTAAATGATTTTATGATGATCTCGAGCCCATTATAAACATTGCATGTTGTTAATTAATTAATTTTAATTAACTTTCTAGGGGTGTTCTTTCTGGATTCACACTGGTTTGCCTGAAAAACATTAAAGGAGACTTGGGAGATTCAGAAATGACAATGTGAGAGGTTAACTGAGTGACTTTTCTCTTATGAAAGAAAGTTTGGGAAGTGCAAAGGCAGGCCTTATTTCTCTGCAGAGGGTGAGTGCAAGAATTGTATCTTACTTCAGCCATCAGAGTGAAGTCCCGTCCCCACTGAAATCAACGGTCAAGCTCTTACTGACTCCTCCGCAGCCTGAATTTAAGTCTCAGGAGCACATCCTAGCGGTGTGTATGCCCTACCCCTTCCCTCTGCAGGGGCTCAATTTCACCCAAAATGCACTGCCATCTAACAGTGAAGTCTGGAAACAAAATTTTATCTCCCAATAAATTTTGATTAGGTTACAGATTCATTTATATGGAGAAAAAGCCAGCCAAGGATGACAGCCCTTTTTTTTTTTTTGTGTACAATGAGTCAGACTGTAAGGATACTATAAGCACCAGGGGCTGCACAACAAGGAGCGTGGCCAGCAGGTGATTCTCCTCCTCTACTCTACTCTGATGAGATCCCACCTGGAGTACTGTGTCCAGCTCTGATGCCCTTAGCACAGGAAGGACATAGACCTGTTGGAGCAGGTCCAGAGAAGGGCCACAAAAATGATCAGAGGGATGGAACACTTTTTTTATGATGGAAGGCTGAGAGAGTTGGGATTGTTCAGCCTGGACAAGAGAAGGCTCCGGGAAGACCTTATAATAGTCCTTCAATACTTAAAGGGTATTTATAGCAAAAAGAGAGACTTTTTACCAGGCCCTACAGGGACAGGACATGGGGCAACCGTTTTCAACTGAAAGAGGGTCGATTTAAATTGATCACAAGGAAGAATTTCTTTCCTGTGAGGGTGGTGAGACACTGGAACAGGTTACCCAGAGAAGCTGTGGATGCCCCATCCCTGGAAGTGTTCAAGACCAGGTTGGATGGGGCTTTGAGCAACCTGGTCTGGTGGGAGGTGTCCCTGCCCATGGCAGGGGGGTTGGACTACATGATCTTCAATGATCCCTTCCAATCCAAACCATCCTATGATTCTATAATATACTAGTAGAAGAAAAGTACTATACCTAATTTAAAGCCTTTTGTAACACATTAAGTTCAGCTGTATTTTGATTTATTCAGAAAATCAGCACTGTATCTGCCAAACAATTAGTTCTTGCCTTTTATGCTACTAAAACAGAAATTTGTGATTTAATTTTTCAAAAGTGATGTAAAGATCAGAACACTCCAATGTGAGGACAAACAAATCACTTACATGAATAGCAAATGCTAAACAATGACTTTGCCCATGGCACTAAAACAACATAATTAACTAAATAACTTTATCTTCACCCACAGGCAAACTACAGTATACAATACACTATACCACAGACATAATGATTTTTAAGGTTGTTAATTACCATCTTTTAAATAAACAACACTCTCTTTGTCCTGTGTTGTGAGGCTGAACTCTACTTTCATACATGCTTCATCGCAGCCTCTGGCTGCAGAAGGCTTAGCATCGCCCTGGGACGGCCAGGCTTCTTGGGATAAGGGGGTGCCTCCTGCACCCCCCCAGAGCAGGACGCTGTTCGGCCAAGCAGTTCTCACTGCACTCATTGCCCTGGCCTTGACTGCACTTTAAGCTACACTTGATCCCACGCACATAAACTCCAAGGTAGATCAGAGGAGTACAGAGGCTTTTATCTCCTCTGTGCACTAACCATGCAGACTCTTCCAATCCAGAGCAAAAAGTTTTGTGAGAAACCACTGCTTTTTGATCACTACGCTTTTATGTCTCAAGTGCACACACCACTGTTTCAAGGGCTCTACCAACACTGATTAAATAAGATGGGATAGACCCCAGAGAAGGGGGTTGTTGGCAGTTGAGTGGCAGGATGATAGCTTTCCATGGCTTGCACTGGATATCATTAACAGAAGGAGGAATAATGAAAAGTGTCAGTTTTTATTTCCTATTTTGAAGCATAACTGATACACACAAGGGCCAAAAGCAAACTTTGGGAAACTACTATGATATTGACAACCAAAGGGGCAGTAGGAACCTTACTCAATTTTGTCAGCTAAGTTTGCACTTTTCATGTGTATTATTTAAATTGCATGCAGGGAGCAGCATCCAAAGCAAGTGAAGACAGATTTTTTTTTTATAGATCAATGGTAGTGCATGGGTGAAAGACAACACAAACTGCAGAATCAGTAATTAGCATGTATCCAGCTGGGCCGTTGTTTCTACCATCATCAGTGTCTCCAGATAAACTTGGCTTAGTAAATAAGTCTGAGTACATGCTGTTTTGGTAGCAGAGTAACACCTGATTCAGGTCACATTAAAATTAATAGGAGTTTTGCTCTTGAACTCTATGGAAGTAGAATTGAATCCACTAATCCTGAGCTCTTCAACTCCACTCCAAAAATGAATCTATTTAGTTTCATCAGACCCTTACAGTGCTTCTATTCCCTTGTATCTCTGACTTTTTTTTCTTTTTCTCGTATTATTTTTCTAACTGCAGACCACCTGAACAAACGCATGACATCATATAACAGAAGAGTGTTATCCCACATTTCTCTGGAAATGTAAGTTTTCTGCATTGCCTTGTAAGCTTTGTCCTGTCAGGACACAACAGGTTACAGCCCTAAATCTTACTGGGTGAAATGAGCATACATGGTCTTTAAGCAGACACAAATGATACTGCTTTTGGTACTTCTGAAAAACAGGTTTGGAACACAACCATCAGCTTGGAGAACAGTCTTCCACAGCATAAAATAAACTCAAATGCAGACCCCCTCCCTTCCACATACTTGTGTGGACCCCAGTTCAGAGTTGCAGAGTGGCATCCACTGTATTAATCTGAGTCTCTTACACTCACGGCTTCCTCCGCAATCTGCAGTCTCCAAGGATTTGTTCGTACAGAACAAGTTACTGCTGTCTGCACAAGCAGTGAGTCATCAAAGGACTTCTGCTGGGAAACTTGCACAACGTAAAGCAGCATGATGTAAAGGAGCACACATGGAGGGGTATGACCTTTCCTGCACCCAAGGTTATCTTTAGGCCTAGTGAGGTTCAAATCTGTACATCCCAAACAGTATGAGGGCATACATACATGTGTGCAGTCTTGTTAACTTCTGTACAGTTGCCTCTTTATTAGTTTACTTCTCTAAAACCAAATAGAGGAAGAGATCACCAAAGGTGACCTTGAATCCTGCCTTTCTGTCACTATGAAGAGATGGTTATTAGATGTTCACCAAGTTCAGCATGCCCTGAAAATAATGGTCTCTTTGAGATACCTCCAGATGACTATCCAAAAAATGAGGCTCTTACCATTAACTGTGGCTGAAGATCTTGAGCTATGGAACTGTATGTTTAAGAACTGAGGTAGATCAAAAAAGTTTCAACTATAATTAGGGAAAGTCTCAAGACTCCATTTGCAAGCCATTATTCTTCTACATAATTTAATTTATCTCATAATGAAAACAAGTATTAAGAATAGGTAAGTGTTGGAAGTCAATCCCAAAGCAGCATGCAAAGCAAGAGCCTGATTCTGGTATGTTTAGACTGATTGAATACAACCAATTCCCACTAACCTCACAAGCTACAGATGGCCAGGTCAGTCCTGTGTATTAAAGCACCAATAATTTCACATGGATCTTTAGCGTGGAGCTTCAGGAGACCTTAAAAGCAGTTATGCACTGGCAGCTACACTCATCACACCTACTTCAGAAAGTAAAACACCGTTCACATACACGCTGATGGTCCAAAAGGTGTCATAATAATTTACTTGGTAATTTTCAAGGCTCATCAAAACTTGACCTTCCTGGACCAGAAGGACTCTGCACTGGCGGTGAGGGGCAACCAAACATGGGTTTTTAAATTGTTGCTGGGTGTATTCAAGACATAGGCCCTCAACAGCAACAGATATCCGTGCTTCCCACTATCACAATATGGCAAAGCACGGTGTGGATATGTCTCCTTATCAGCCTCCATGAAAGCACCTGCCTCCCTCCCTAGCAGGGCAGTTAAACATGCTGTAGACACCTCAATTAACATCAGGACAAATGCGTGAAGTCAGCCAGGGTCCAGCTCAGGGATGGTTGAGGATCCACCTCAGGGACCGTAAAACCACTCCCCGTCTCACCCACACCAGCTCTCAGCTGCTGCTGGGCAGCGGACACCTCCTCACAGGCCCGGCCACCGGGGTCCGAGCGGGGGCTGCCGGGGCACCCTCCCTACCGGCAGGGAAAGGCGCTTCCCCCCGCGCCGAGGCCCCTCAGTGATGGCGGCCGTTAGGGAGCTGCCGTTAGGGAGCGGGGGCGGCCGTTAGTGGCCGTTAGGGAGTGGGAGCGGCCGTTAGAGAGCGGCCGTTAGGGAGCAGGGGCGGCCGTTAGGGGTGGCCGTTAGGGAGTGGCCGTTAGGGAGCTGTGACGGCCATTAGGAGCGGCCGTTAGGGAGCGGTAACGGTTAGGGGTGGCCGTTGGTGGCCGTTAGGGGCCGTTAGGGAGCAGGAGCGGCGTTAGGGAGTGGCTGTTAGTGACCGTTAGGGAGTGGCCGTTAGGGAGTGGCGTCGACCGTTAGGGGCGGCCGTTAGGGTGTGGCCGCCGCCGCGAGGCCGCGGCCCCCTCCGCCCGCCCTGCCCCGCCCCGCCCTTACCGGCGAAGTTCTTGGTGAAGACAAGGGTGACGAGGAGGATGGGGATGAGGACGGTGCCGATGGTGACCACGCGGTCGAAGGGCAGCTCCAGCTTCAGCTGGAGGAGCAGCGCCGCCAGCGCGCCCGCCTTGTCATCCTGCTGCCCCGGCAGGATGAGCTCCTTCAGCTTCTCGCCCGCCAGCAGCGCGGTGGCCATGTCGGGGTGGTTATCGATGATGTGTTGCATAAGCGGCGGCGGCGGGCGGCCTCACGCCGCCGGGCCTCCCCGGGGACGGGCGGCGCCCGCCCGGCCTGCGGGGACAACACCGACAGCGGTAACGGCGGGGCCGCGGCCCGGCCTCCTCTGCCGCAGCGGCACCATGTTTGGGCCGGCGGGACGCTGCCTCCCCCCACCCCGCCCGGGGCCTGCCGCTGCCCCCCGGCCCGCCGGGCCCGGCGCGGAGCTCCCCCTGCGAGGGACATCCCCCCCCCGCCCGCCCGACCCCCGCAGCCCCGGGGACAGCAGTGCACAGCGGCGGAATAACGGTGCAGCCGAGGCGCCGCAGGGCAGCTGTGCGGAAGGAGGCAGCCTCCCGCTGCCCGGAGCCGTGCGGAGAGATTGCCAGGAGAGGCGGGCAGCGGGGAGAGCTGCCCGGGGACAGCGGTGCAGTGAAGCGCTGCCCCCGCTCTGCAGTCCGTGCTGTACAATAGCGGCGAAGCAGCCATGCAACGAGACCGGTTTGGAGCCGCCTCTCTTTAAGTGCTGCAGACAAGGAAGAGGGCATTTACCTGGCAACTTCGGCTCCCGCGGTGCCCAGGGGACGGCGAGCAAAACCGATGGCTTGTAAATAACGGCGGAAGCCGCAAATAAACTTACACAGCACCTCCCTGCCGGCAAGAAAGCTCCCCGCGCCTCCACGAGTAATAAAATCGCTCCGGGTTCGGGGCGGGAGGCGAGTGATGTGTCGATGCTGGTTATGGCAGCGGGCGGCCGGCGCTCGCATGGAAGTGCCCGCCCGCACCCAGCAGCGGTACCGTGCGGAGCGGTGCAAGACGGGGCGCGCAGCAGCCGCGGGGAGCAGGAGGAGGAGGAGGAGGCGGCGAGAGCGGCACCGGAACGAGCTGCGGGGACGCGGAGGTCCTTTAAGGTTTTAAAGCGCACAGCTGGAGGGTGCTGAGCCGGCGGCAGCCGCAGCAGGGCGGCGGGGAGCGGTGCGGGCACAGCACATGCCAGGCTGCAGCGCGCAACACGTTGCGGCGGCCCCGGGCGGCGGCGGCAGCCGCGTCCGCGTCCCTGTCCCTGCGGGAGCCACC